GAGGGGTGCGGCGGGAGTGGGTGCGGGGGGAGAGGGTATAACTGGTTGGTGGTAGCGTGTGCGGGGGAGGGGTGCGGCGGGAGTGGGTGCGGGGGGAGGGTGTATACCTGGTTGGTGGTATCGTGTACGAGGGTCAAGCAGCGTTGCCACTCCCGGCCGAGCGGCGTGAGGGAGAACAGAGTGTCGTTCCAGTACCACAACGACTTGTGACGTACAGCCGATATATGCAGGAGTCTGCGCAGGGATACACAGACGCACGCTGCTTAATTAAACTAATTATATAAAAAAAAATTAATATAAAATTTTATTATTTAAATAAAATAAAATAAAACAAAAACAAAATTGACTAAATAAGATGGTAATTACGATAAGCGTTAAAAATTAACGAGTACGTTAGGGGGGAGTATGTTGTTTATGCCCCGCCTCGCCGGATGGGTATTATCAGGAGTGAATTATAATAAATGATCATATTAATATATCATATTATTATATTAATTATAATAATCTATTATGTTAATCTATTATTCTTCATTCCTGGTATTATAACTAAGCGGTGATCGAGTGATGTCTATTCATTTTTTATATGGCAATTACGTTTTGAAGTATTGTTTAGCGAATCTGATACCTTCAAATTATAAATAATGTGATTTAATGAATTGAATTCAAGCGTGTGATAACACACGTGGTTGAAGCGACAACGGTTGCTCTCTAAACAACTAAACAACAAAACAGCTAAACAAGTAAACAACTAAACAACTAACCAACTAAACAACGAAACTACTAAACAACGAAACTACTAAACAACTAACCAACTAATCAACTAAACAAGTCAACAACTAAATAACTAAATAACTAAACAACTAAACAACTAAACAACTAAACAACAAAACAATTAAACAAGTCAACAACAAAACAACTAATCAACTAAACAAGTCCACAACTAAACAACTAAACATCTAAACAACTAAACAACTAAACAACTAAACAACAAAACAACTAAACAACTAATCAACTAATCAACTAAACAACTAAACAACTGAACAACTAAACAACTAAACAACTAAACAACTAACCAACTAAACAACCCATATTATAACGTTCCTGTTACTACTATTCTTAGCCAGTGCCATCTAGTAGTCACATTATGTAGATAGGTGAGCTAGAACAGGTGATATTGTGATAAAGCTGACAGGTGGAGAGACGTGTTGGGCATACCGACTCACTGCGTTCACATACGCTGAGTCACGATCCGTCTGTGCATGCATCTTCTTTCCCATTGCCGTCTCTGAAATGTAACGATACAGATGTATATTCTCTCTCTCTCTCTCTCTCTCTCTCTCTCTCTCTCTCTCTCTCTCTCTCTCTCTCTCTCTCTCTCTCTCTCTCT